ATGTAATAATTCTTATTACAATCGTCCCTCTTTTAAGCATGAATCGTCTCGATTCAGAAGGATCATCAATAAATATTATTGTCTATCATCATCATCACTTTCTACGTGTTCTCGTGTTTGACGTCAATTGTGGTGCAGCATCTAGTAGCTCTTGTATAGAGGAGTCCTGTAGTCTCGCGTCTTTATAAGACACGTTTTCATGGCTTCTTTTACTAGTCCACTTGATCACGTAAACTTTTGGTCCTCCTGCACCTGGACCCTTCTTCCAACCTAAAACTTTCTCGATTTGCCATCGAGTCATGTTTGGTTCTGTAGTAGGTGGATTCTGCGGTAGGTAAGTCGTTGTTCGTCCCTCATTGAAAGATGATTCGTCCTCGGAATCATTATATCGACGGAGTTGGGACACATGAAATACATCGTGTGGTTGTCGTTGACTTTCGTATGGAAGGGCAATTCGATAGGCAACACGTCCAACACGATGGGTGATGCGGTATGGACCGGTGAATCGAGCCTTTAAAGCATTGGATGGTTGGGATCGTAAGGCGGGTGGTTGATAAACTTGTGTCGAAATTAACACTTGATCATTAACATCAAATTCGTCGTCTGTACGGTGTTGGTTGGCGTATAAGGCGTAACGTTCCTGAGCTTCCATTAGTCGGTCAGATACTAGTTGGCGGATATATGTTGACTTCTCAGCAAATGATAGAGCTGAATCATTGGTGGGTGTGATGTTGGATGTTCGTGGATCAGAGGGTTTGTCAACATAGACAATTTCGAATGGTGATAGGCCAGTAGATGCATTTTTGGTTGAGTTGAAGTTGTATTCTGCTCGTGAGAGCCATTGATTCCAATCGTCTTGTAAAAAGGAGGTGTAGTTTCTGAGATATTGTTTCAGTGTGCGGTTGGTTCGTTCAGTTTGGCCATCGGTTTGGGGATGGTTGGCAGTGGATAATAAGATCTTTGTGCCATAGATCTCGTGTATCGTCCTCCAAAAATCAGAGGTGAATCTTGCGTCTCGATCAGACACAATCGACGCAGGGTGTCCAAAAAGACACACAATGTTATCGAAAAATAGCCGGGCTAGAGTTTCCGAATCTGGTGGTCCTGTACAAGGTATGAATCTAGACATCTTTGATCGTCTGCAACAGATCACCCAAATAGCATCGTAACTTTCTTTCGTTGGTGGTAGATTTGTAATGAAGTCCATCGAAAGATCAGTCCAATTAGTAACCGGTATAGCCAGCGGTTGAATCAATCCAGCTGGTTTGCTGTTGGAAGTACGATTCTGTTGACAAAGTATGCAAGATCGTATGTACTTCTTGATATCATCGTGCATCTTTGGCCAGTAATAGTGTTCGACTAACTTGTAGGTGTGCTGAATTCGATGACCTGCAAGTGGGGAGTCGTGCCAGTCGTGTAACAATCGTTTTCGTAGAGTGACCGGTATGCAGAGTCGGGGTTCATCTCGTTGTGGTGAGGTGTTCCAAAGTAGTCCATTGTCAAGTTTCAGTGATTTCAATGGTTGGACTAGATCAACTGGGACTTCTGCAGTTGTCAATGCCAATAGCACTCGGCTGTAATATGGATCTTTGGTATATTCGATCTGCACTTGTTTCTCAAATTCACTAACCGCAATTATTGTGTTCACTGAAAGTGAAAGTGGTAAGTCGATAGTGTTACGAGCTACATCGACAGCTCTACGTTCCATAAAGTCGGGATTTCGTGATAACGCGTCAGAGACGACATTGTTCTTCCCGGAAACGTGTTGAATTCTGAGATCAAATTGCTGAAGTAGTTCTAGCCACCTGGCTTGGCGATTCGACAGGGTCTTCTGTGTATCGAGAAAGACTAAAGAGCGGTGATCGGTTTGTATGGTGACTGGTAGACCCAAGAGATAATGCCGCCAAACTTTTAGCGCATGAATGAGAGCCAAGAGTTCTTGCTCATGCACAGGGTATCGTCGTTCAGCTGGTAACATCTTGCGGCCTTCATAGGCTACTGGATGCAGGCCCTTTGCGTGCTTTTGGTACAGTGTAGCACCGATTGCAAATCCACTAGAGTCAGTCCAGAGTTCAATAGGTAATGAGGGGTCAAAGAGTTTCAATAAAGGAGCTGTGGTCAAGCGTTCCTTCAGAGTATCAAACGCGTTCTGCTGAGACGCCGTCCAGTTAAATTCAACGGTTGTCTGGAGTAGATCGGTCAAGGGTGATACTATTTTTGAATAGTGCAATATAAACCGACGAAGCCATTGAGCTAACCCCAGGAACGAGCGTAGTTCTGATACGTTCTGTGGCACTGGCCATTCAAGGATCTGCTTGATGTGGCGGGTGTCGGGTTCAATGCCAACAGGGCTGATCTTGAATCCCAAAAAGATGGTTTCACGTACAAAAAGCTCACATTTCGAGAACTTTGCTGTTAACTTAGCCTGCACTAAGGCATCGAAGACCAGTCGTGTGTGTTTCTTGTGTTCCTCAAGGGATTTTGAATAAATCAAAATGTCATCAAGATACACCACCACACATACATCAAGAAACTGTCGGAGAGTTTCATTCATAAGTCTCTGGAATGTCGATGGAGCATTGCACAGTCCAAATGGCATCACGAGGAACTCATAGGATCCATATCTTGTAGTGATTGCAGTCTTATGTTCATCTCCAGGACGAATGGGGATCTGCCAATAACCCCAACGTAAATCAACCTTTGTAAAAATCGTTGATCCCACAAGGCGATCTAGTTGATCTTCAATCCTAGGCAGGGAATATCGGTTTTTGATCGTGATCTTATTGAGTGCTCTATAGTCGAGGCACATTCGTAAGCCTCCATCTTTCTTGGACGCAAACAAGACTGGAGCTCCAAAAGGTGAATTCGATGGTCGAATAAGTCCTCGCTCTAGTAGGTAGTCCAGTTGTTTCTTCAATTCGTCTTGTTCAGGGAGTGATAATCGGTATGGTGGTCGATGAGGAGTATCATTTGACTCCAAGTCGATTGGATGTTGAATCGTTCGAGACGGTACACCAGCGGGTAGTTCATCATCCTTAAATAACCGATTGGTATATTCGGATTTCAGTTGTTCTCGAGCTATCGAGCATTCATCGAAGTCAACGTCCATATGGTTACTAGTTGCATTTGCGGCAAACGTCGCGATTTGCGCGTTTTTATGGGTTGGAGCAACATCATTCTTAAAGCGCAAGATAAACGTGCGTTCTTTAGGATCTTTCATCAACGTGAGAAGCTGTTTCTGAGACAGTAGATCAATGTTGTGGGTTTGCAATTCACGTAGGGTGGCTGCATAAGTTGATGTCGAGTCATTCGTATCGAGATTAGCTAGTATCTTAAATAATCCGTAGGGCGTATTTAAAACAATTTGACTGGTTTGCCAATCGATGTTGGGGTTGTGGGTATTGAACCAGGTCATCCCTATGATCATATCGTATAATTGCAATGGCGCAATCGTTGCAGACAAACTTTCTGTCCACTCGTCACAGCGTAGAGTCACGTCTACTAGTTCATATTCCAGTTTGGCTGTATTCCCATCGTATCCAACGCACATGACCGATGTTGCCAAAGGACGTCGGTGTCGAATCAGGTGTGGCTGCCGCTCGATTAGAGATGATGAGACCAACACATCGGAGCATCCGGTATCGAACAAAATGGTAACTTTGGAGCCATTCAAAGTCCCTCGAGCGCGTAGCAAGTTGCTCGGTCGCGTGTTTGCTCTCATAACAACAACGCGTCGTTCTGAATGATCAGACACCATCGTCATGTCTGTAAAGTTATTTATTGAAAACATTGTCAATATCGGGTATCATGCTACTATATAGCATCAGATTCAAATCAGGATGATTGATCATTTCGGCGTACCATTCTGGGTATCAGTAACTTGAGCAGCAGCAGCTTGCTTAGTCTTACTGTTACGACATTCGGCTTTACGATGTCCATGGTGTCCACATCCATTGCACAGGCCTAGTTTACGATAGACATCTCGAGTTTCAGATGTAACTGCTTTTCCAGCATACTGGTTAGCTTCCAAGTGTTCCTTGGAGTCAGAGCGTTTCATAGGGCGCATAGGACCAGTACTACTACTACCGGAGTTTCGAGGCTTGTTGTTTTGTTGGTATCCTGCGGCATTGGCTTGGGTGGTTCGGTTGGCTTCCTTGTCAGCCGCTTTCATCCGACGGTGGATCCGGAGCGCCTCTCTTTGAGCTTCGTCGAGAGTCTTCGGAGTAGCCATCATCGTCATAGCCCGATACATTTCTTTATTCAAGGACTCGAGATAATGGACAATCAGTTTAGATTCGTCTGCCGGAGTCTTTTCATTAGCTTGAATTCGGAGATTTCGGTAGTATTCGTTGAATTTTTCGACCGATTGGTTGTCCTTCTGCTTCAAGTATCGGAGATCCATTTGGGCCTTCTGTTCAGAGTCTGGGTTGCCGAATTTCAAGACTAAGTATTCTTCGAATTCGGTCCATGAGGCGAGTTTGGGATGAGTTGTCATATCGGGATTCCCGTGTTCTTGACAGAGTTGCATATACCACATTCCGGCCGGACCTTCAAGATGGTTGCAAGCCCTTAAGATTTGCTGCGGTTCGGGCAGTCGTGCGAGGTCGGTGGTTGCAATGACTTGGCGGACACGGAATACCCATAAGCGAGTTTCTCCTTTATTATCCTTGCCGTTGAAAGACGGAAGTTCGTTTGGTCGGAGACTGCTCTTGGCGGTAGACGACGTTGCGGCAGGTTGGTTTTCGTGTGTGTTGACACGAGAGTCAGCAAAGGTGTCAACTAGGTCTTGAACGGAATTTGACATCATAGCAATAGAATCAGCCATTCTGGCGAAAGCGGTTTGCCAGTCGTTCGGAGCGTCGTTGGGTGGTTGACGAATTCGGTTTTGAATGTCTCCGGGGCCTTCGGCGTCACCAACAGAGCTCGCATCATCGTTTTGATTGTTCAAGAATCCGTCGTTCTGATCGTTTTCGGTCATAGTGGAAGAGTTTGCTGTCTTTAGATCGTGCTCTCGCTACCAAATGTAAAAGATGGTCGTGTCGCACCTAAGAAACGGTCCAATGCTTAGCGTCACCTAAGGTAACGGCATTTTTC